GGCAGTCAGGCATTGGAACAGGCTGCCCAGGGAAGTGGTTGAGTCCCCATCCCTGGAGGTATTTAAAAGACGGGTAGATGTGGTGCTTGAGGACACTGTTTAGTGGTGGACTTGGCAGTGCTGGGTTAACGGTTGGACATGATGATCTTAAGGGTCTTTTCCAACCTTAACGATTCTATGATTCTATAAGAAAAACAAAGTAAAACACTGAAGCTCTTAGGTGCAAAATGATGCTACATTGTTTACAGCCATTTGAACGTACAGTTTCTCATGAAGTATCTGTCAATTAAAAAAAAAAAAACCCAAACCACTGCCAAAGTATTTTATTTTTCAATTGTCCAAGCCTGAATGTATAGCCTAAACAGCAGTATTCCACTATGCTAAAGAAAAAGATGACACCTGTGATTATGTTAGAACGGAATATGAATCATACCAGACTCATTTGTCTGAAAGTGATAAAAATATAGAAGTACTTTCCAACTGCTTTCAGAAAAAAAACCCCAACACTGTAATTCGCAAAGATAAATGCAGTGGAAGCCAGCAATTTCCATTAAAAAAAAAAAAAAGTTTCTCTTGTTAGTCATTCTACAGCATTCAATTTGCTGCAAAGCAGCCACGTTTTTGTTCTTGAACTTCCATACATTGCTTAAGCTTCTTAAGGAGTAAAAATTAGGTTATCTTCCCTCTTCCATTCCCCAACCACAGATAACTGTCCTGACTTTCTCCTCTTCCTCCACATCACCTCACTGACAAGCCCCCAAATAAGACACACATACACACAAACATATAGCTAAATCGTTACTAAGTTCCCAAGTATCAGAGATGCACCCTTGTACATCTGACCACTAAAAGACAGGACCAAAAATTTCATACACCCTTGACATTACTAACAGACAAGAGAGAAACCATAAGAATTATACATAATGTCTTCAAATTTGAATACACACTATTTGCATAAATCAGAGAGAGAGTAACAGGGGAGAACATTCTCTGCACCAAAGCATAACTCTCAATTGCAAGGTGGGGGGATAAAAAGCAGATAATCAAATCACCACCCATTAAAGAGACGGAAAGTACCCAGAGGCTGAAAGAGACCACAGAGTATCTAATCCCCAATTACAAACACACACAAGGGAGAAAAAAGCATACAGAAGAGCCAAAAAATCCATAAAGATTGTGTAAACAGCTGAATTTTTCTTACTCGTCCACAAAGTGTCAAGTCCTGCCCATTACTAATTAAGAGAGGCAAACATGGGAAACTTACCAACTTCTCTAAAAGCATAGCTATTTTAGCTTCCCACAAAAGCTAAGTCTGGAGGCTTTAACCCATCAGCAGGAGATTCAGCACACAAGACCCAACATTTCACCCTATCATCCACAGGAAACAAGTCCGTTGTTACAGCAATTTAAAAACACCATTATATCAAACTACACATTTTGCGTTAATGTAATACCCATTATATGCAGTCATCTGGTGTAACTGGAAGTTATGGCTGGAGATCAAAATGTAGTAATGATTCTAGTACCACTGAATATACTTTAAAAACAACAAAACCAAAACCCCACCATGTGTTACATGTTACACTTGACAGAGTTTCAAAAGCCAAGAAGAAACTTCCTTATATTATGTGTACCCTGCTTGAGAAAAAAGATACTGTATGCCAAACTTCACAACAAAACTGACGAAGATTAACACCTTCATATACTTCTGATAAAAAAACAACAGAAACTTCAAGGTGAAGAGAAGGCAACAAAAATAAAGGAATCTTTTCTTCAAATGTGGAGAATGTAATAAGAAATAACCCAACCAATACCAGTAATCTAAGTTTTGTTTTTAAAATGACATCAAGACTTAGAAGTTAAACACATCTGATGCTATAGAATGTGGTAGTTAAAGAACAGAGTAAGACAAGGTTAAGAATGAAAATGTTGTAGCAAAAACTTAACAGCACAATTACACAATTTTTATCCCTACCAGAATTCAAAAGAAATTTGCCAATGATACTACTTATGATGGAACTGTAGGAAGTGCAGATTTCCAAACACCAAAATTTCTAGAGAAATTTGGTACGAAAGTTAAACTAGATTAAGAAAGCCATAACCATTTTCACTGCTTAGTGAGAGTCCAAGTATTAAGTATGCCACCAACAGTCTGCAGTTTGGTGCATTGCTTAAAACTTCCTTTAGAAATTATATCACTTGCTTGCACTTATCAACTGTTTAAAATAGAATAGTTAGGATTAACCAATTACCTGTTTCAGTTTTACTGGAGAAACCTGCTGCCTGTTTGATCGCTGCTGCTGTTAATGCTAATCCTCGGCTCCTCCTCAGACCATGCTGTAACACAGCTTCAAACTGAGCACACAAACAAGTGACTCTGCAACAGAATTTTTCAAGAAACCGAGTGAAAAGAACTATCAACTATGTTTCAATAGAGCAGGTTTATTCCAAATCTCTGAATAGAGAATGTAAAGGTGAACCATTATATTATACGTAGTGCAAGACCCCGTGTCTGCACTAATCTCATTATTTGCAAACAGTATAATCTACTTATACCCACAGTCTCCTCGTGACTATCCAAAGCTGGGGCACAAATTACATTCAGAAGAATTGACAATCAATTTGAGAAATCATCCTCACCTGCTATAGTGGTTGTTAGTCATGTTATTTCAGCTTCAGATTACCTACTTTTCATGTAATGCAATTATATTTTCATAAATATACTTTGTACTACACATGCATTGAATGACTTTTTGAAAATGTGCTATAACAATTAATATACAATTTTGTTAATTTGCATTAGTACACTATAATTCAAGCCTAGGAAAACAATTAAACATACATTTTCCTGTCCTTCAGAAATCCTAGGCATAGGAAAATAAGAAATATTTTTCTGGAGATGTGTTGAATCTTCAGGTTTTGATGTTGTTCTCTACAATACTATTTATAAATTTCCTGATTATTTTTTTTAAATATAACCCAGTTAATAAATCAATTTTCACACAGGTAGAAACATTGTAAAATCAGCAAAGTTTTAAAATTCAGCCTGCCAAAGAAAGCATTATTATTGTAACCTACGGGGAATAGTCAGGCTTAAGGTATAACAGACATTAATGCAATCTGTTTGTTTGAAATCTTATTTTCTCCAAGTTTTACTTTGGCCATTAAATAAACAATGGTTAAAACTTAAGCTTTAAGAAAGTTGCCACCTGGCTGCCAAAGCTGATTGCTAAAAGCAAGTAAAGATACTTTAACTAAGTTCAAGCAAATAAATAAAAACAGTTGACAAAGTGGCTCAGGACTCTGCCCCGGCATTCCAGAAGTACAGAATTCTATTCAGGGTCACAAAAAAGCACAAGATCTCAGGAGGAGCACTGACAGAAAAAGAGGTATATTAACCATATTGCCCTGGACAGAAGAGCTTTTAACATGTAATACTTTCCAGTACATCTATGTTAGGAAAACTTTACTTTGTTAGGAAAACTTTGCTAATAAAGCAGAATATAATTCAAACAATACTCAAGATGATTGTGGAACAGTTCTGATTAATTCTTGCCAAAAAGACTGCTGCTGCTAAAAATGGAAATTCCAGCAGATACATGACCCCTCAGAAAAAAAAAAAAAAAAAAACAACAAACTACTTAACTTTTTCAATTCAGAGAAAGCGGAACAGAAACCAGGTTCTGTGAAAGAGCTCATATTATTAAAAATCCATGTGCACTGAGAATCAAAGCAAGAAAACTGTGCAGCATTTTATAGGAAAACAGGTAAAACAAAATAAAATTCAAAAAGATCAGGTATTCTACAATGCCCAATATGCATAGTGCATTTACTAGATAGCATCACAAGTGTATGTTAAATAAACAAATACAGAAAAACAGGGAGAAGTCTAGTGTACATAGACATAGTAGAACTCTGAACAATTACAAAGACAAAAAAAAACATTGGGAGAACAAAACTTGGAGAGCCATGGATTTTGATCTAAATTCTCAGAATATCCTCATTTTCAAAATTATCTCACAATATTTAGCATAGTAACAACCTCAAATACCATGGAATTCAGGGAGGGGGGAAAAAAAAATATCTATTAATGTACTTTCCACTTCCTTTTTCATCCTGAAACTGCCTAGCTATAATCCATTATTCAGCATGTCTACTGAATTCTAAGGAAAATATTTATAAGTAAAATTTGGCCAGCATTGTATCTTTGGAATCCTAACTCTCACTGTTTGTAAGAAGACAAATACTAAAGGTCATAATTCAAATTATTAAACAACTGCAGCAAAGCAGTTGTTCAAGTAAACTGAGCAACAAAGCAGAAGTTTTAGATCCAGAGAATTTGCTCTATATAGGAGGTACTTCCTTCTAGACAAGCTTACACAATCTACTACTACAAAGGCAAACATCGTCAATACATTGTCTCACATAGACTAAACAGTAAAGATTAAATAACTAGCTCTAGTTGATGCTTCTGTGCCAACAGCTATAGCTGCACAGCCAGTCCAACTGCTAGGTCCTTCAGCCCCATCATCCCTTTATCCCACCTGCACCTTCTCGCCTCCTCCCTCACACCAGCTTCTGTCCAACAAACTCTGTGCTGAGCAGACCCTGTACTGAACTGTTTCCCCTACGCTAGCTCAACAGGACACTTCTCCAGGTCCGTTTCCCCAAAACACTGTAGGCTGAAACAGCCAAGGGCAGGACAGGATGACAGCAGTAGCCAAAAGTCAGACAGGCTTAAGCTGCCATGGAGTAGCATTAGCCCGGAGTTTCACACACAGGTAATGCACAGGAGCTGCATTACAAGCTGCTTCTGAAAGGAGATGGGTTTGCCCTCTCATCCCTTGTTGCTTCTTCCTCCTCTTCTGCATTTCCCATTGCTTCTAGCTGTGTGATCTTCCCCTCCTTGCAGCAACTCTAGCATTCACCAGACGTTTTACTGATTTAACTCACTAAAATGGCAGAAAGTTATCCTTTTGCATTATTTCTTCTTTTATTAAATTAATTCAGAGGGGACTGGATGATCACCAGGCATTGCTTAAAAAGGTTGTGGAAGGGAGTAGTACTGAAGTCAGGGACCTTGAGGAGATACATGAACCCTCCCCACGCCTTCAGTAGCAATGAATCGTTATGCTGGCTTTCCAGAAGTCATGAAACCACACCCTTAGACATGTTCTTAAAGACTGAGTTGGGAGGGGATTGGAGAGAATTTTATGCATCATTTATAAATGGCCAACAGATAATTAAGTTTTTCCCAAAAGGCAGAGTCAAACTTCAAGGACATAAGAAAAAGGACAACAAACAACTGCATTTAATCCTGGTGTTTTATTTATCCGCAATTCTTCGATAGGACAGATTCTGAGAAAGACTCAATAGGATACAAAAAGCACTGCAATTTCTGTCCACCAGTCATCATCTTAAAAGCCTTAGAAACCAATATGCCATATCCAACAACAAATACAACTAATAGAAATTAAATGAATTTTTTTAACTTACATTAATAAAAAGGAACAGCTTCTCATACAGAAAAAGAAGAAAAACAGGTTTAAAACATGTCAGGAATAAGGAAAAATAAGAACAAAAATTTTCTTAATGACTATGTTTTAAACACCCTTGACACTGATGTGTCAAGCTTCACAAAACACAGGTGCATTGGTAATAAATATGCATTCATTTTGAAAGAGGTTTTAGGGAAGATAAATTCTCCCAATCTCATGTTCAGACCTCAGAATTCAATGCTTTGTCATGAACTCTGCAGCCACTTAAAACACTTGTAACTTCATACAGAAGAACACTCTTTGTTAAGCTGTCAAATTTGTAACAAGATGAAAAATTCAGAGTGCCATGTCAGTGTTTGTGTAAACAAAAGGAACTGGGTTTTTTTTGAGCATGTCAAGTATTTTATGCCATATGTTTTATGTTATTATGATACATAATCTAAAAGTTTCTTAGACTATTTTACCTGCTATCAGAGTCCGAAGCAATTTCTTTTCTTCCTCCAAACCGTATTTGACACTGCAATAAACAGATTTTAAGAGATTTTTTTACACTAACAAACTCAATATTCTGAAATATTTCCATATAAGAAACAAAGTCATAACAAAAAAGGAAGCAGTACAAAATAAAGCATTGGCAAATACAGCCTGCAACCAAAAAATGCTTTACGGCATCATGTTCCACTAACGGGCTACTCTTGCAGTTCAAATATATTCTTGCTAGCCAGAACAACACACCTGCAGGTCCTTCAATAAATTTAAAATTGAGTTTTAAATGTACACCCACAAAAACAAACGCTGCTCCTATTCAGCTCAGTGCTACAATTACAGAAGAACCATTCTTTATAAAACTTATCATTGGCTTACTTTTGAGGCATTCTTCTGCCTCCCAAGCTCACCTAAATTGAAACGAGCCTATGAAATTCTACTTGCTGAACTTCATGCTGACGCAAGATGCATACATACATAAATAAATCCCATCTTTACCTCTATTTTAACCATTCACTAAAATCCTAGTGTAAAGAAAAAAAGCTGCTACTGTAAAATGGTAAGCAATTTAGCTGTTGCAGTACACTACAATTCAGTTCAGTCATATATTACAAACATACATATATTTATAATATATATAAATATTACAAATATAATCTGGTCAAGAACAAGAATTTTAAACAAATACTGCATAACAGTTGTTTCCTATCAGACACAAAAACTCAGCAGAACTGTGTAAAAGACTTCTTTGTCTAGTAAAGAGGAGAAAAAAGGGCAAAGACAGTTCCTGCTAGTACTGACAACTCAGAGTAAGTATACTGTAGAAATATGTATCGGATTTCTCACCTGTTTAACTGCATCCAGCAGCCGTTCTAGAAGAAACTGTCTTTTAGTGTCATTGTTCTGTGAACCTGAAATTCAACAAAATTATATCCATTTAAAATAAATAGTTTTTTAAGAAAAATCCATTCGGGCCAACACCAGGGCCCTGTTTTCCCATGCCATTTATTCCATTAAATTTATTAATGTATTTTCTTTAAGTAAAATGATGCAGTATAAGTCTGTGTTTTGAGGTTTCAAGTAGCCTTTCTCTAATAAGCAGGAATACGGTTTGGAATATCATCTAGTCTTATTTTAGTAAGATTTTGGTTTCATGATATAAGGTATATTGCAGCAATACCAAACATAGTATAATTGTGCACAACTGGCACAGCTTTCATCTAACGTCTTAGCACAACCACCTGTGGGGCCATATTGAAAGCCTGGAACTGACCTAATTTAAGATTTTTAATTTTTTTTTTTGTTGGATTAGGTGTATTGATGGAGCTCGTGCTGCAACCCCATAAATGTTCATACTGCAACAACTACCAGGGTAGTATATCATCATAGCACAAGAAAAGAATGGAAAATGAGAAAGTGACAGCAGGCATAGCAGGAATATCTCCTTAATGTCAAACAACGTTACTGAAGAAAGAGTTTTAAGTCAGGTGAACAGAGAGCAACTGTTACAATAAAACCCTTAAAATTTAACTGCCAGCACAGTTCTTCCTGATTAACACCTATAAAATCGTTTGTTACTATGCAAGCAACTACACAAGACAATCTTTAACTTCTCAATCATTTCAACAATAAATAGCATAATACTTTGCTTGTCAGAATATGCTTTATAAACTCACATGAATGTGTGTAAAATTCATTGCTTAATTAACCTACATCACCTCGATCATTTCTTTATTCTGACCTTAACTTCAAAATATCCTTCAAAAACCTCTGTGACCCCTCTGGAATTAAAGTAATTCTATTCTTCTTTTCCTCTCAAAGAACATACAACTAAGATATGCATAGGCTGAAAGCCAATTATCAAAACTCTGCATAAGCAAATTCCTCCAGATACTGAAAACTAAACACCACACAATAAGCCCTCTAGTAAATAGAGATGACATCAAAGATACGTGTCTCTTCCTCTTGCTGTCCAACACTGCGAGGTCCCAATCCCAGAATTTCCTGTCTTCATAATCCCATTCAAAGTAGTTTGCTCCTAAACCAGCAGGAGGGGACAGAAGTGTTTATCTGCTGGAGGGTAGGAAGGCCCTGGCCCGGCTGGATCGTTGGGCCGGGGCCAACTGTATGAGGTTCAACAAGGCTCAGGGCCAGGTCCTGCACTTGGGTCACAACAACCCCAGGCAACGCTACAGGCTGGGGGAGGAGTGGCTGCAGAGCTGCCTGGAGGAAAAGGACCTGGGGGTGCTGGTTGACAGCCACCTGAACATGAGCCAGCAGTGTGCTCAGGTGGCCAAGAAGGCCAATGGCATCCTGGCTTCTATCAGGAATAGTGTGGCCAGCAGGACCAGGGAGGTGATAGTGCCCCTGTAATCGGCACTGGTGAGGCCACACCTCGAATCCTGTGTTCAGGTTTGGGCCCCTCACTACAAGAAGGACATCGAGGTGCTGGAGCGTGTCCAGAGAAGGGCAACGAAGCTGGTGAAGGGTCTGGAGCACAAGTCTTGCGAGAAGAGGCTGAGGGAGCTGGGGTTGTTTAGTCTGGAGAAGAGGAGGCTGAGGGGAGCCCTTCTTGCTCTCTACAACTGCCTGAAAGGGGGTTGTAGCGAGGTGGGGGTCGGCCTCTTCTCCCTAGTAACGAGTGATAGGACGAGAGGAAATGGCCTC